TTTATTATACGAGTGGTTAAATAGCCAAGATTTCGATAAGAATGGGACTTACACATTCCCATTCCATACATTCCAGGGTAATTCATTCCATACGGAGATCCCATGCCGCTCATTCCCATTCCACCCAGCGAACCTTTGAAATAGGCGTTTAGTACAAAAATGGAAAAAAAATATGTTTGGAAGTATTACCATATGATCCGTAACCCATCATACTGTCAGCACCACCTCCATACGATCGATAGGGAGCAGATCTAGAAAAAAATCACTTTTGTTGAATAGCCTGAGAATTTTTCATGCAGAGAAAACAGGTGGCACTTACAGTACTGATGCAATCAGAGCTGATATCCAAATAATATTCGATGTTCTCATTTTGTCTGAAGAAGCACAAATTGGGTATTACAGCCCAAGAACAAAGAAAATGGGAAAAATGCATCAAATAACAGACTAACCTCTAGTCAAGCTGCGTATGTAAAAATTAGAGAAGTATAACCAAAAAACTGTAAATGGTCCGCAGATCACTGCCTTTTATCGTAGTATAGAGCAAATAGGCGGGGCTAGCGATGATCCAACGAACGCATGCTATTTGAATAATCGCCTTTCACTACTCGCTTTCTGCCCGCTTGATTTACTAGTTAGGGACAATTTGCTTGTTCGGAATTATGTTGGTTGTATTATTGCATCATTTGCGGACATAAAATTCCCTACAGTTCAAAAAATCCAATAATTCAAAAAATAGCACATAAAAGAAAGTGGATTTACCTAGGAAGACATCACACTAAAAGACCTAAGGTATGAACGTGATTTTAAACTCATCAGTTCTGAATGCTTGGACTTCCTGTTCACCGTATATGGTCTGTGATTTGATACCAGGAGTTTCATTGCAGAAGTTCAATTATTAATATTATTACTAATATAGCATAAATGTTAAAATGGCACTCACGATATCTGAAATAAAGTTCAGCTTTAACCGAAATTTAAGGTGTAGCGGTGCAGTTGCACGCAGTACACCGAGTCCAGGAAAGTAGGCGTCGAATTTACCATACAATATAGTTGCTCCGCACACAGTGTTCCAACATCAACAACTTCAATTTTTGTTTCTTTCTTTTTTCTTATTTAAACCATTCGTAAACGATGGAATGCAAAGCGATGAGAGAACTAAAAACAAGATAATAAACTGTACAAAACACATATGTCTTATAGTTGAATGGCCATAATTAATAGTTTTCCACTTCCATAATCAAAAAAGTGTTGTTTTGTTCAGAAAAAAATAGATTTAAAACACGTCTTGTTCTCGTTATTACTCATCTCTATACCTTGGACATACGTAGCTATGCAGCTGCTATAATAAAAACATCGAATCCTAAGTGAATCCAGTTATTGTTTACGAGGACTAGATCTCTAGGGGATATGATGCGTTTGATAGAGTGACGAAGTAAATATGTAA